TTTCAAATTACAGAGTGAACCCGCCGTCTGAAGCAGATTCAGTCAGAGATTTGGCTGAAGGCAACACACATAATCATCTTCCTCTGTGTCTGCACACACACACACACACACACACACACACACAAAGACACACAAACATGAGCTCTTTTCTTTATTTATTCATTCATTCTGAACACAGCTCTTTCTTCCAGGCTTTACTTGTCTTTCCATATAGACCAAAATGCATTTACATTACACTGTCAGCGACTGAAGAGGCTGAAGTTGACCGAGGAGACTTTTTATTTATTTTTCTTTCTGTTCTTCAGCAGCGACCTTCCTCCAAGTCACAACCAATGTTAAAGTCCACTGAAGGCAGAACCTCGCTGCTGGGGGAGTGTGGACAGAAAGTTACTGTCAGTGAAACAACATCCACAAACACTACCGACACTTTCCAGAGATCTCTGAGAGCTCTTTCTTCAGATTGTGGTTATTATAACGAGAAACTTTCTCCAAATATTAACTTATTATTTCAACATAATGACTTTGTGATACTGAGTCAGTATTTGGCGGCATTGGTCTTCCATCAATATTAACTTTACATGGAGGTTTATTGAAATATGACATCCAGTATTCTTTTATTGTATTTCTCCTCTTATGTGTTTTGACCTTTTACATAGAAACTGGTGGAGGGAACTTATATTACTTTGTGCATCCATGTTTGTTTCTCATATATTTATATTCAGCTCAGGCAGATCAGCTCTGGAAGTGTTGTTGAGTCTGTTAGTGTCACATCAGGCCTCTGGGCTCGACCACAGCTGAGCAGACAGGAAGCTGCAGGCCACGCTGACCTCGGTCCACTTTCATCTGCACCTTCCAACAATATGTCAGCGGGAACGCGTGCGATCTCACACGTTGGTGTTGAGGTCCGACACGTGCACGGACGGACCTCAAAGGGAGCGCGAGCAGCTGCAGTTCGGCCTCCTAAAGAGAAAGTTCCCTTTTTTAAATGAATGAATAAATTCCTGTTCGTCAGGATCAACGCGTCCTCGTACCTGAACCACTGAATAGGTTGAATGACGTCACCCAGACTTTGGGTCGCTGGGCTCCGTATTTACGTGTATTTTGTTCTTAAAAAGGAAACAAAACTGTGTTTCTCCACTAACCATCTCCTCTGGTCTGCTGCCACAATGCTGATGTAGTGTTCAATCTGGAATCTGCACGCGGTATTTTATTTGAAAATTGAGTGGATTCACTACACTGTGTCTGTGTCTGATGGCTTTACAGTGTGATCTGCTCTGTGCTGCTCGCTGCGAGTGGGTCAGAGCTTCGTGTCGTGGCCGGTGGAAGAACCAGAATCCAATGGAACGATCCCATTTGGTCTGGTCACCTTTACAACTTTTGACTTATAATAAAATAAACCTATAAAATATATGTTTTAAATGTTCCTCGCACTTTATTCCACTACTGATTCATCATATACAGATTATGACATCCCAAACTCACTGTAACCAAAGCCAAGCATTGCATTGTGGGTGACGCGCTGCGACGAAGCGGCTGCTGGAGCGCGGATGTGTTCGCCGCCTGCAGCAGCGCGTCGAGCTGCTCGGCCGAACGTGTCAAACTGACATTTAGGCAAAAGTAGAGTGAGAGACAGTTTGCTAACGTTTGGCTGCTGGTGATGTTGAGCTGAGAGTGTCTTGTGATTACAGTGTCAGCACACTGTTTCTGTGGCCCGCAGCCGGGAACAGAAGCAGTCAGAGGTCTGTAGTTGAGTCAGTGCTCACTGAACCAGAGATCTGACGACTAAAACTAAATGTTAAAACATATCACTGACCTCTAAATGAATCATAGCAGCGGTGGAATATCACTAAGAACATTTACTCAGCTGCTGTTCCTCATTATAAACTTTACTTTTACTTCACAGGCACAGATTAAAGGTTATATATGTGAAATCGTCTCGCTATTGGACGTCGCACTAGAGCACCAACATCTCACAACAACAATGGGACAGAAATAAACCATAAACCATCATTTTACCATAACTGTAACAATCTTAACTTATTCAAAGTGAACAGACCAACATCACCAACGCTGGTTTGGCTGAAATTAACCCTTAATTCAGAGTTAAAGCTGTTAAAGCCACAACGTAAGATAATGTTGATCTTTGGGGCAAACTGTTTGCTTGAGTTACCTGAATGAACTGTATTCTGTCGTCTGTACATCTTTTGCACAGATTACATTAATAAATCACTTTTTTGGTTTGTTTGCGGGGCTTTTGTTGCACTTGCAGTGGCGTGGTCAGTGTGCGGCTCTCCACCGCTGTCGGTCTCACCAGGAGCTCAGCCGCAGTGGAACACAGCGCCTGCAGCCAGTGGAGAGAGCTGTCCACCAGTAAACCACCTGAACGGCTGCACTTCCACACTTCAACATGTTCTTCTTCCTATGGCATTTAATGGCAGACTATATAAATATTTGTGGGCGTATACGCTGTTCCGTCAGGTCCAGAAGAATTGCATTCTGGGTACGATACTGTAGAAAAATGAGTAGTGTCAAGTTTCTAGAATTTTGGCATTGACTTATCGATGTGACATCCTTAATGTGAATATAGGAATCATTGTGTTTTTGTTACATTAGAATGAGACGTGTTTATCTACAGTCTACCATGTTTCTACAGTAGCCCAGAACGGACAAACCGCACCGTAGTTTCTCCTACACGCTCTACAGCCCGGTTCCCAGGTCGACTCTAGCAGTGTTCAGTCAGTTGCAATCGGCAGCTTCACCACTAGATGCCACTAAATCCTTGGCACTGGCCCTTTAATGCCTCCTTTAATGGAAGCTACAGAAACAGTCGGGGGTTTGACTGCGTGCATGTTGACCAGCTGAGGACTGACAGCAAAGGGCCGCAGGTCGGATTCAACATGGCCGCTGCAGCGAGGACTCGATGCACGTTTGTGTCGTTACAGCTGCAACCATACAAGTGACACAACGAAGGAACGGCAGGAAGCTCGAGCTGTCACTGAATAAAAGCCATCTTTCACTTTCCCTTAGCTCTGGTTTATCACACACACACACACACACACACACACACGATGAATATGCATTATTCAGTTTGAGAAAATCAAGCTGCGAGTGAGTCTGTTTTTATTTCAGCTCTTTTCTTAAAATCCGTGAGGATGCTAATCACCAACACAGAATGATTTCATCTGTGCCCATCGGGGAGCGCGGCGGTGACGCTGTGGGGGCTCCACGGCTTCCTGTCTGAGTGTCAGTGCACTTGTCTGCCTGGATTGTGTTCATGGATCTGCTCGTGTGTGTGTGTGTGTGTGTGTGTCTGGCACTCATCAGCAGGGTCGGGGGGGGGCTCCTGGGAACCGACATGGGCGCTTTGTTAGCTGCTAGCTTAGCCTGCTGAGACGTGGGGAGATGAGGAGAGGTTGAATCCTGGATCTGTGCAGATAAGGATTAGCTGATCCTGACAACAGAAGGAAGGTCGTGTCTCAGATTAAACAGACAACTTTCTCCCCCTGAAGGAGGTTCAACCACGAACCGGAGGCCAGATGATACCGGTGTACGGCAAACACATCTCCCTCCCTGCGTAGACCGGCTCCCAGCATGCATTTGGCCACTGGTGAAGCGTAGGAGCTGCAGTTTGTGTATGAGGTGAGACTGCTGAGCGACCCCTCGCAGGGTCCCAGGAAACCCCGCCGCTAACATCACACCCCCAAACAGAGGAGGCAGAAACCCCCAGCACTGTCTGACTGCTGACACAAACAGATTAAAGCTGCAGTCGGTAACTTTTATTAAAGGAACTCCTCCTGCTGCTCCTCACGGGAACTGTTATTATCCAGACCTACAGGCAGAGCACAGATGATCTCACAGGAAGGAAACATTCCTGTGACTTCCTGTTTATTCTTTAAAGGCTGATGGAAACTGACCGAGTTCACTGCAACCTTATCTCACCTCCTCTTCCTCCTCCTCCTCCTCCTCCTCCTGCCGCCGTGGGGCTGCAGAGCTGGAGCTGATGTACTGAGGCAGGACCCAGAGACTATCTGTGTGTATTTGGACCACCTGGTGGCACCGACCTGCTGTCCTCTGAGCCTCTGTGTCTGCTTCCCATCAACCAATCAGCTGCCAGTGTCCCACCTTCAGAGGCCACGACACAGTGAAGTACTTTATAGTCAGAGAACATTACACTGACAGGAAGACTTCAATACAGTTACTGATGTTCCAGAGCTCGTAACCCTGAGTCCGATAAAGGATCAATGAGTCAGACAGACAGACTTCTTCATGTGAGGGGTGTTTGGGGAGGACGATAGACCCCCAATCAGAGAGGACCAATCCCCTCTGAGCGTTTGATTTCTAGGTTCCAGATGAGATCAATATGAAAACAGCAACTCTGTTTCTTCCCCTATTGTTCCAACTTCCAAAAAAAGTGATAAAAGTTCAAACAGGGGTCTTTGAGAGAGTTATCTGGGGTCCCCGATAACCCTCTCAAGGACCCCTGTTGGTCCCCGGACCACCTGTTTGAAGACTCTCTGTATTGTGTATGTAGAGGTTTATTGTACAGTTGGTCTCAGTACTCGTCTGCTGGAGGTTAAAGTGTGAGTGGAGTCTTTCTCTCAGAGTTTAATAGATTAATAATCAATAATTAACCACAGACTCATGTATCATATATATAATGCTTCCTGTTTGTCCTCACACTGTCTCACTGTCACAGATTATCGCTCTCACATTCAGAGGAAATGTCTGTGAGTCTGTCAGTAATCCTGATCCGGGTCCTGATCCGGTCCCCGGAGGCGGAGGAGGATTTATAATTCATACATAAAGATGGAATGATTATTGTCTCGCTCTTTAATCCGGATCTCAGCAGGCTCGTTACGTCAGCAGCAGACTCTCCTCGGTGAATAAAACCCGCTGGGGGGGTCCGGGTCCCGCTCGGAGACCCGCCGCTCCGCTGCTGCCACAACCGATGTGCGCGCTGTCAGCTGCGTGAGTCCGAGTCCGAGTGTCACAAAGACCGCTGCAGGCTCCCTCCCTCCCTCCCTCCCTCTCTCTCTCTCTCTCTCTCTCTCTCTCTGCTCCCTTTATTCCGGACTCTACTGACTCCGCTCGGGTCCACTCAGTTTCTGGCTCGCAGTTCCCGCCACCCTCCACCATTACGTCCCAAAGCAAAACGGACTTCCTCGCGCTCGCCTCTCGGACCCTGCAGAGGAAGAGGATCGTGGCCGCTGTGGTCGGCATCGTCATGGTTCTGGCTCTCATCATCGCGATCCCGCTGCTGGTCCAGACCTCCAAGACCGACGCGCACTACGAGATGATGGGCACCTGTCGGATGATCTGCGACCCGTACAACCCCAAACCGAGCGCCACGGCTCTGGAGGTGATGCAGGACCTGAGCGCGATCCCCTCCCCGACTTTTGTTCAAGGGACTAAAGGAGAGCCGGGTCGGCCGGGGAAACCCGGGGCGAGGGGACCGCCAGGCGAACCGGGTCCGCCGGGTCCGAGAGGCCCGCCGGGGGACAGAGGGGACTCTGGGAAGACGGGGTACCCCGGGGTGGTGGGCACCGCGCGGACGGACACCGGCGGAGAGCTGGGCTCCGCGCTCGGCGGGGCGAAGATCGCGTTTTATGTGGGTCTGAAGAACCCGCACGAGGGATACGAGGTGCTCCGGTTCGATGACGTGGTCACGAACCTCGGGAACCACTACGACCCCACAACCGGGAAGTTCACGTGCCAGGTGTCTGGGATTTACTACTTCACCTACCACGTGCTGATGCGCGGGGGGGACGGGACCAGCATGTGGGCCGACCTGTGCAAGAACGGACAGGTAAACCCTCGTGCGCTCCGCACGCGCTCATTTAACGCGTTAGTCTGGGTTCCCGCCTCGCGCGTGGATGAGCTCTCCATTACGCACCGAGAGTGATCCGGAACCCGGGAGTGTAAACTGCACCGTGGTTCTGTATCTCATCCGGTTCGATCAATAAATCTATAATCAGCTTCATATCGATCCGTGTATCAGGTCAGGCTCCACGCGCACAGCTCTGCGCCTGCGTCCTGCAGGGACACAGTGCGGGACAGTGCGGGACAGACTACACTCAGCTGTACTCATAGGCGGTAATTTACTGTAATCAGTAACGTAATCCATTAAATTATTAATCAATAATGTCAGTTAATCTGAATATTAAGATTAAACATTGAAATATTTTAAAAGCAAATCAAATTAATTTATATTTATATATATGTCTGTCAAATTACATAAACCTTACAGTAACAGCACAGACACAGTGTACAGGTGGACTGTGTGTTATTGAACAGGTAACATGGACCTTTATTGATCCTCGGCTTCAGGGGGACTCTGAACGTTTATTTTCTGATCTGAACTTTATGATATTGAGCTGAAGATTCAGTGTTGATGGCAATAAGATCCTTTAATGAGAGTCTTTATTAAAGTCAATTAGAGAGGAATAATCCTCCTGCACAAATCATTAATAAAAGCCAAAGTTTACTTATAATGAAGATGATGCAAAATGCAAAAATAGCAAATTGGTTGGAATTCCCAGTTCACATCCCCATAACTGGGAATTCACACTGACACAGCAGCAGCACCGAGAACAAAGAATACAGTAAAATATAATAAAATACAGTCAGATAAAACAGGAATATTAAATATTAGACATGGTAAGATATACAATAATATTGTGTATCGTGTTAAAAACTACATTGTCGTGATGAAGCTGTGGAAAAGATTCCAAACTACAGAACTGAGTCTGTGATGCAATAAATATGTTTATTAACAGTGTAAAATAAAGTGATTACAGTGTTTCTCTTCTGAGGATCTGAATATTTCCTCAAAAGTCCCGAATCTTTTCAGGCTGTTAACAGAACTTCACTTCAGTCTCTCTGACTGGAAATATCAGCAACCATTACAGGAAATATTACAGGATCATTCTGTGAACTTCAACAGGTACAGAGAGGCATTAAACTGTTAATGTGCAATAATCTGGTTAATGTGCAACACTGGTTAATGTGCAATAATCTGGTTAATGTGCAACACTGGTTAATGTGCAATTATCTGGTTAATGTGCAACACTGGTTAATATGCAATAATCTGGTTAATATGCAATAATCTGGTTGATGTGCAATTCTCTGGTTAATGTGCAATAATCTGGTTAATGTGCGATACACTGGTTAATGTGCAACACTAGTTAATGTGCAATACTCTGGTTAATGTGCAACACTGGTTAATGTGCAATAATTTGGTTAATGTGCAACACTGTGGTTAATGTGCAGTACTCTGGTTAATGTGCAACACTGGTTAATGTGCAACACTGGTTAATGTGCAATACTCTGGTTAATGTGCAAAAATCTGGTTAATGTGCAATAATTTGTTTAATGTGCAATACTCTGGTTAATGTGCAAAAATCTGGTTAATGTGCAATACTCTGGTTAATGTGCAACACTAGTTAATGTGCAATAATCTGGTTAATGTGCGATACTCTGGTTAATGTGCAATAATTTGGTTAATGTGCAGTACTCTGGTAATGTGCAATACTCTGGTTAATGTGGAATAATTTGGTTAATGTGCAACACTCTGGTGGTTAATGCACAATGCTGTGGTTAATGTGCAACACTCTTGTTAATGTGCAGTACTCTGGTTAATGTGCAGTACTCTGGTTAGTGTGCAACACTCTTGTTAATGTGCAATAATCTGGTTAATGTGCAATAATTTGGTTAATGTGCAACACTCTTGTTAATGTGTAACACTGTGGTCAATGTGCAGTACTGTGGTAAATGTGCAGTACTCTGGTTAATGTGCAACACTCTTGTTAATGTGCAGTACTCTGGTTAATGTCCAGTACTCTGGTTAATGTGCAGTACTCTGGTTAATGTGCAGTACTCTGGTTAATGTGCAGTACTCTGGTTAATGTGCAATACTCTGGTTAATGTGCAGTACTCTGGTAATGTGCAATACTGATTAATGTGCAACATTCTTGTTAATATGCAACACTGGTTAATGTGCAACACTCTTGTTAATGTGCAATAATCTGGTTAATGTGCAACACTCTTGTTAATGTGCAATAATCTGGTTAATGTGCAATAATCTGGTTAATGTGCAATACTTTGGTAATGTGCAATAATCTGGTTAATGTGCAACACTGTGGTTAATGTGCAATACTTTGGTTAATGAGAAACACTGTGGTTATTGTGCAGTACTCTGGTTAATGTGCAGTACTCTGGTTAATGTGCAATAATTTGGTTAATGTGCAATACTCTGGTTAATGTGCAGTACTATGGTTAATGCGCAAGACTCTGGTTAATGTGCAACACTGGTTAATGTGCAATACTCTGGTTAATGTGCAGTACTATGGTTAATGTGCAAGACTCTGGTTAGTGTGCAACACTGGTTAATGTGCAATACTCTGGTTAATGTGCAGTACTATGGTTAATGTGCAAGACTCTGGTTAGTGTGCAACACTGGTTAATGTGCAATACCGGTTAATGTGCAACACCGGTTAATGTGCAACACTCTTGTTAATGTGCAATAGTCTGATTAATGTGCAACAATCTGGTTAATGAATGGTCGATATACAATGTCGATATCAAAACAAAGAAAAGTCATGTATAATTCTATTATATTTTGTAGAAAATTCAGGCGTATGTTTACAGCAGATAATCGGCCTGATTAATCAGTCCAGTATGTAGGGTTCTGTCCTGGATTGTTAAGAAAAAATTCCTGGAAAAGATCCTTGAAAACAGTTTCTTAAAAAGAGTGGGAACCCTGGAATTGGTGTTTGCAGGAGTGAAAACCGACCTGTGTTGCCCGTCTTGTGCTCTTATGGTTTCCAACCCTTTTTCAACTGACGACTTCTGACTAATATTATATGGATATTTCATATTATATTCAATTCATAACAACAACAGTACAGAAAGCCCAAACAGTGCAATACCTGCAGGACGTTTGTGTACATTTTAATTAATTTTGAGCAGCTCCTGTGAGTTTTACTGAACTTTTACTAGGAACTTTTTATACAATTCTGTCTGTATTATGTATTTTTTAAATATTTAAAACAATCATACATATTTAATAGTCTTCCAAACTTATATTGAATTTGTCAAAAAAGATCTTAAATAATAATATAAACCAGAGATTCCCAACCTGGGGGTCGGGACCCCCACTAGTGGTCGCCAAACTTAACTTTAGAAATAACAATTTATTTTATTTTTAATAGAAATGAACAAAATGCTGAGATATCGGGTCCCGACCCCCATTTTGGGAACCACTGTAGTAGCACATGTATACGACTCTAAATTGTATTTTAACAGACTGACTGACTCACAGTTCTCTGTCTCTTTCTCCAGGTCCGAGCCAGCGCCATCGCGCAGGATGCCGACCAGAACTACGACTACGCCAGCAACAGCGTCGTCCTGCACCTCGACTCCGGTGACGAGATTTACGTCAAACTGGACGGCGGCAAAGCGCACGGCGGGAACAACAACAAATACAGCACGTTCTCTGGTTTCCTTTTGTACCCGGACTGACTGATAGTCGCCGCTCCCAACCCGCCGGGACAGAAACAAACCTCAGATTTATCTAATCAATACATCAATTGATCAGAGCGACAAGAGGACGATCAGTCTCATATTCAGCCTTTTTCTTAGAGAATATTGTTTCTCTCTATTCCCTCAATAGTTTGATTTTCTTTGGCAACAAACGTCTTTCCACTGTGGTGCGTTCAAGGACCCTTCGGTTTGTTCTGCTTTGGAAATAAGTGAAATTACCATGAATAGAAATTAAAATGATTAATCAGAAATATAAATAAGAACCTCAGTTATTCCCTCCATCGTTCTTAGACGAACTGCCTTCACGCGATGGATCCACGATCGATGTTTGCAGATGTTGTTTCTCTTTGTGCATTTTGTGGAGGTTGTTCGGGTTGGGGGGTGCACTGAAACTGAACTGAAAAGGCCTTGATGACCTCCCCCTTGTATACAGAGGACATTGCTGTGTGATGTGATGCTATTTTATGCTTGAAAGTGTGTCTCACAAAGATATATATATATATATATATATAAATACTGTATGTATGCACTTATTTATTCAAAAAGAAACCCCATATAAGCTGCAGTTAACTGTTCATCCAGTGTTGCAAAAATGTTTCTATATGTCTTCGTATTCCAGTATAAACGTCGGTCAGTAATTTCAATAAATGATTATGTTTTATAAATCGTTGTCGGAGTGAAATTGAGGCCAAATGTTTCCTTTAATCTGCAGATTTTCCTATCGGGTGTCTTTGTTTTTTTATCTGAATTCTCCTGATGTCAGAATCCACTTTGTGTGTGAACTTGGTTTCACTCTTGAGTCGTCACATGCTGCAGCTTCAGTGGCCGTCCGCTTTAACAACATTACTGCGGTGGCGTCGTCTTACAGTAGTGGTTCCCAACCTGGGGGTCGACAAAGCTTCATGGGGGGGTTCTTGATTTTTAGGGTTGTAAGATTACTTATGTTTAAAAAATCTATTTTATGTATTTGAATAACTGAACACAAGTAATATTCACAGAGCCTTTGCTCTCTGATAAACAGCCTTGTCAATGAGAGGAACAATTAGAAAAAAACATTGAATTTGTCAAAAAACAAGCCTATAAAGTTTGTATGATTGTTAGAAATGAAAAAAATACATAATATAGACAGAGAATTGTAGAAAATGTGCCTAAAAAAAACCCCCATCTTTGATATTCAGAGTAATAATCCGCTTAAAATTCATTTTACAAAACCTTCCTGTTCACTGTTTAGTTTCATTGTACAGTTCAACAGTGGTTCTGTACTGTTACTGTTATTGTTATTGTTATGCATTAAATATTATATGAAATATACATAAGATATGTCACTTAGTCGGTTCATCAGTTTAATCAATGATAGAAAAGAGGTTCCTGAAGGGAATAAGGTTGGGAACTACTGCCCTACAGTGTGCAAGCTGTCCTAAGAAGTGTACAATTTCCTACTTTTATCTTCACTTTCTATGTAACGTTACTTTTTTACAATGTCTATGAAATGGGGAAGACGCTGTGCAGTTATCAGCTGCTCCAACAACAACTCTAACATGAATTAGTATTTATTTGAGGTGTAAAGATTTAAGTCCAGCGGTAGCACGCCAAATCTTAAGACTCACCTGGTGAGACGGCGACGAGGAGTCTGTGGATGCTAATAGAGCTAACACAAGCAACAACACGCAGCATATTAAACACTTTCCAGCCACAACTGAGCTCCAACTGCGCGCAAGGTCTAAAGTAATCACTGCAGGAAGTCTTTCTGTCCAAGTCTGTTGGAAAAGCAATAAACACAATGAGTGTAATTCTGAAATGAGACATTAAAAAAAATAAAATAAGACCTGCTGATTCCTGTCTTAGAAATAATGTGTGAAAACCATTCACAGTTAAAAGCCAGGCTGATAATAACTGCGCACTTTTCCTGCAGAGACATTTTGTTCATAATACTTTTATACTTTCATTTTAGAGTCCTGCACTGGGTTGCACCAGTTATGTTTAAGTTCTCTCCTAAGTTAGGATGTAAAGTCGACACTAGAGGTTCAGGAACTGCTACGTAGTTTGAAACTGAAAACCAACTAGTTTGGATGTGAAGTCATAACTAACCCACATTAGCGCTCTAGCTTGCATGATCCATATTCATCAATAAATTAGGTCTTTACTGGCTCACTGTGTCACAAAATGGCTGCAAATGGTCAGATCTTAGTTAAAATAATATGTTTTCTAATTACTGCAAACAAATTTTTTTTTTAAATTTTTATATAAAAGCAGCCACATTACTAATAGTGCTGAAATCTTGCATCCTCCACAACTGCACAGGGCTACATATCTTTCACTGTAAACCTCCCAATGCATGTCGGAGCTAAACCTGGGGATTATTATAGATAGAAAATAATAGAAGCTGCAGCACCGTTCGGCGCCAGTGTTAGTAAGGAACCAAACTAAGTGCTACGTTCTGTCTATCAATCTCCTTCTGTTCAAGAACAACGGACAGCACGACTGCCACAGCGGCAACAACAAACAATGAGCCAATAAACATTAATGTACAGACAATAAAATATAACCAGTGGTTATAAGGTTTGGGTAGTAAGTGTAATGTCCCCAAAAGTGGCATAAGTAACTGTATGTGTGTGTGAGTGTGTGTGACTTAGGCCACCTTTGGGGACATATTACAGACTAGTTAATTGGGGACAGGTTGTCCAAGTGGGGACACCAGCCGAGTCCCTACGTTGGATAATAGGTGTAATGTGTGTGTGTGTGTGTTTGTGTGTGTGTGTGTGTGTGTGTGTTTGTGTGTGTGTGTGTGTGTGTGTGTGTGTGTTTGTGTGTGTGTGTGATAGATGGTGCTGCTTATCTTGCGGTGGACATTGATCCATTCTGGCTCTGATAAATGTTGAGATGACGTTTTGTCTCAGCGCCTCGTTGCTTTATGAGTCCCATTAATTAAGTCAACAGCTCAGCACGTCACAGTCCATTCAGGACGGACGTGCTTTGTTAAATCCGCCCGGACTCTGCGGCATGTTAAACGTGTGTGCTTTAAGATCCTTAAGGCATGAAGCGTCACATCCTGCAGGTAAACACGCGTTCTTCATCCCGCCAGCTGCTGCCTCAAGCGTCCGGGTCGCACCTGGAGCTTTCGTGTTTGTTTGTGCGAGCTCGCGGGGATTAATCTTATCAAACATTTTAATATCAGCCTCCGTTCTCATCAGGGGCTTAAAATGTCACTTGTGATCATGCAGGTTGTCCTTTTACTAAAGAAGAGAGTTCTGCTAATGTATTTGAATATTTTAAAGGGACGTTTTTATGCTTTTCTTCTGTTTCTGTCATATAAAATATTAGAATGAGGATTTTGATATTAAACGAGGTCAAAGTGTCAAATAATGAGGTAAACATATGGAAAAGAAGAGTTGGGAAAGTTACTCAAAATCAACATTAATCAGTTAAACTACCAGTTATATCATCTTTCTGCTACTTCCCACAACGGTTTCAATTCAACTTTCAGGGATTTACAGTTTATTAGGGGACATTTATTTGTAGCTATAAGCTAGCTGCCAACAGCTCCAGGTGGTAGCTCGTGTATTAGAGACCGTTAAACACCGACACTGCCGCGGCGCTCTGAGCTCCCAGAGTGGCTTAATAGGACGGTTAAGTTTGCTGCACTGCTCACTAGCTATAGATTACTGTGCTTATGGAGATGATATCACATTGTTTTGGGGTTGAAGAATTAATGTATATTGACTGGTTTTGTTTTTTTGATCCGCAGCTACAAAAACTGTTCGTCTAACTTTAGGATTTGACACATCATTAAAGAATCATCGGGATGTAAAAAATGTCTTGAAAACCAGACGAGGAAAAACAAATGAGACTAGATTTAATATGATAAATGTTCCTCCGTTAAAAGGCTCTTTCTGACGTTTAACTGGGCGACATTTCACCGAACGTACAAATCAGAGCACTGAATCACCGGAGAATCCTCCGCGAGCCGCCGAGGCAGAAATCTCAATCTCTGTCGACGGCTGTCAGACTTCATCAGACGTCCTCGTTCGCTGTCACCCACTCTCCGTCCCACAATCCTCTCTGCTAAATGAAAAGCAACAGGTTTTTATGGCGCTACACAAAACATGTGCCAGCGGTGGGACGCCACAGCGGGCCGGGATAAAACACTATTTGTTGCCTCTCTCATTTAGCCCGCTCTCAGAGCAGGCAGGTGCTTTTATGTGTGTGATTGACACCTGAGCCAGGGGTCTGACACAGACGCTAGATTCCCTCTCCGCACCGGCACTAATAAAACAACAAGACGCTCTCTGTCACTTCCAGAAACAAACAGGGGAGCTGGACGGCGCTGCTGGCGAGCGTCGGGCATCGCACGCTAACTTTTTCTGACAGGAGCCAACGGTTTAAAATAGGTTTGTCTCTCAGAGAGCAAACAGAGGGACTACGAGGCGAAAAGAGCACTTAGGGGAAACATTTCACTACAAAGAAATCCAGTGTGCACCGAGAGGAGGGACAGCAACAGGAATACTCTTTATTTTAGTCTTCTTCGAGGAGGAAAAGGAGGCCGAGCTAATCAGAGCTAGCCGGTTTGCTTTGTGTCAGTGAGATGACTAAACAATGACCCTCCTGCCCCCATCTGCAGCAACATGATGTCCCTTCCTATCAGCCTGCTTCGGGACGGGGGGGTGAGGGAGAAGCTTCACCCGTCTTGATGACGTGAAGGGGAAAGCCTGGAGGGAGACTAATGGAGGTAATGAATGAGAAACAGAGAGAGGTACACTTCTCCTCCGAGCTGCTTTAAGGCTCGCTGCAATTTAAAACTACAAAATGGATTCATTTCATTTCAGTTCGAGGACCCTGAGAACAGTTTCAGTGGAAGACGGGAAACTTTGGTTTCAGTTTGGTCTTTTGTTCACATGATAACGTTTCTGGGGCCTGAAAATGCAAACTTTTAAAAACGCTCCTGTTACCACACATACAAAGAAATCCGAGATTTTACATTTCTCTCTATGTACAAACACAGAATGAGCACAAATAAACAAGTTCAACTAAATAAACTACAATATACAGTTATATATATACATATGAACAAACAAAAACAATAACATTACAGACATTAGTGTAATGGTGCAGAGTGCTGAAATAAATATTTCCACACAGATTTCTTTCCTGTACATGAGGTGGCTATTACAGTACATACAGTATATATATAGTATATACACAATATGCACAACAGGTCAGATGTGTTTGAATGATTGTGTTTATGTTTAAAAAAAGAAGACAACAGAAGTTATCACAGGACAATCCTTATAAGTGCCAACAGTTCCCACCATGAACAAGTAAAAAACAAGTAAAAGAGGAGAAAGTCTCAATAAATTCAAACATTTTTATGAATCAAAATGACGAATGAATCATTGATCAGTGTAGCTTTAATATCTTTGTATTGATCCGTCCAATTGTATGAACAAAAGAATCTGTTCACAGCAAAAAACACCAAAATAATCTTATCAACCATCTTTTGCATTAGAAAGTAATCTGGTTTTGGGCGCCCGGTTAGCTCAGTCGATAGAGCTGGTGTCCCATGTACCGAGGCTGAATCCTTGCTGCAGCGGCCCAGGGGTCGAGTCCAACCTGTGGATCTTTGTTGCTTCATTTAAGACAAAGTCACTGATTATTATTCTGCTGTTTG